AAAAGACCAATGCTTGCTCTCTCTGATTGGACAGCATCAGTGTAGCTCACACGCTAGGCCAATGACTGCAGATCTGGTACCGACTGGACCAAGATTGTCTCTTCGCTGTGGACGGTTGACTCCTACAACTCTGACTTGAAAATGGTATTGGCTGCTGGCAGGGAAGTTCGCGAGACAGGTCCCAGCGTGGAACCTGGCATCGGAAGAGCGACACGTGCCTTGGAGCATGTTTCGATATACAGCTACACAGTCGGGATGATTCAGTGTGGGTATGTCGCTTGAGTGACGTTCTTCACGGGGCCTGTCTTTGATAGTGGTCTTTGGCTGAGCTAAACTTGAGTAGGACAACAGCCTACACTTTATCCTCGGTAGTGGTCGGGTTAAAATGGGTAATGGAAGGGAGATCGGAAGGTGTCCGGCCGAAGGCAGTCATGAGCTTGCAGCACCACTGTCCAGCACTGCTGCCGTACGCCTTCGTAGCGATGCCATGCCGCGACACCATTTTGAAGGCGGTCTACTGCCATGGAGCACTTTTGAGGCTCCATCCAAGCCTCGCATGCTGCTATAGCGTTGACGGTGGCGACCCAGTCGTCAGCAGCATCATTCTCGAAGTTGTGGATTTCTGGTATTCGGGCGACGACTTGGGACGATAGGACAGCAGGTGAAAATGCAAAGAGCGCCAATGCGAAGCCACCAAGCTGATCTGAGAGCTGCATGAGGGCATCCCGGAACTCTCTGCGTTGCTCGAGTAGGCTGGCCTCGAGGTCATGTGAGGCGGCTATGTCGAGCATGGCGTCGGTGGCCCTCAGTGCCAACAGAATGGCAGGAAACAGCGCAGAGTGCAACGCTGTTAAGACATTGATCGTGGAGCAGAGTCTGGCGATGATACACTGCAGCTGCACGGCTCTAACCGAAGAACCGCATGTGGAGTTGATGGCTAGGCTCACTGCAGCAGGATCATTTTCAAAAAGAGCTTGAACAGCATCCACTCTGAACAGCTCAGGTGCCAATGGAGTCCTGAGCGAGATCTTGTTGCCACGGGAAGCGGGAACAACGTCCCTGGGAAATAGGAGGCTCTGAGCCATCTTCACGGCACCAGGGCACGCGAAGGACCCCTGAGTGGCGTCCCTTGGATGCTCACTCGGAGGAGTCTTAGGCACAGGATCCATGTCACTGGAAATGTACATGACGTTTCCAAATGACAAAACCTTGCACGCCTTATCACATGAAGGTGGAAGCAATGTTCCTGACAAGTTGTACCCTGGAACCATCTAAGAGGCCTTGACGGCATGTGCGGATTATTCAGTGGGTAGCTGCAGCAGCAGTCGGGTCGTGAAGTCTATGATCGAGGAAGTGTTCCGGATCCATAATCAACCCACTCTGCCAAGAACCCACGAGGTACCTTGTACCTCGTGGGTGCACAGGTAAGGTTCAGTTGTCGAGCTTCACCACTTTAATGAATAACGAGACAGAGACAGTAGCCTTTCTACAGGCCGGCTGTTCTATACCGTCCTTCGTCTTCCTCTCCTCACCCAAGCTCTCAATGCGCCCGAAGCACAGTATTGTTCCTCATCGTCACAGTACGTATGTGTGCAATAGAAGCACGTTTTGTTACTTCAACAAAGGATAAATCCCAGTCGTGAGCTGCCACTGCCACAGTGCCAGATCAGCGGCAGAAGCCATTCAACAGTTTTTAAAATGAAGCACTACGGTTTCTCCAGCTAGACCCCTCACACGAAGTCAGAAGGGTCGTCTCACTGAGCGGATGTTGTCAAAAAGAACAGAACTGGACAAATGATGAATTGTGGAGAGTTTCACACGTTTCTTGTCTGCATTTACTTTCAAGAATACAAAATGTCACAGCTTTGCCGCAAAGGCGAAGCAATGAATGCGATAACAAGCAATTGCAAGATCACGTGCAGAATGGCAAGCAGATGAAAACGTGCCCCGCCTTTTTAACGCACAAATGACACACGAAACGTACACACAGGTGAAGATGAATGCAAATAAACATCTCAGTTGTTACTTTGCTGTGTTTGAAAAGCGCGCCTTTTTCACAAATGGAGGCTGTGTAACGATTGCAGTGACCTTTGTGCGCCCCGTAATCGCAAAAAATCCGTTCCAGTGCAAGCCAAACACCAAGGATATGATCCTCCACAACAGGAGATAAGGGCGCATGAGAGATCGTTCACTACCCTCCTTTCCGCAGGCCAAACTACGCGTTCATTGTGCTATCTTGTTGATAATGCTGAAAACCTCATAGCTCCCCCCCCCCCTCGACATGCCCACCAGCAGTGGTAAGTGGTAGATATGAATATATAAATAGCTTGCCGTTTGAACGTTGAAGGAGGTACCCCTCGGTGGCTCAGTGGCTAACGCCTCGCATTCACGACGCGGAGGTTCCACGTTTGATTCCGCACGCTGGAGTCAATTTTCTGATTTTTTTTTCTTTTTTGCATTTTCATATATATATAGATACGTATACATATATAGTGCATGACATCGACGCCAACAGTGGAATCCAGCCGAAAGTGTTCATATAATTGCTATCGCAATAAAAGGACATACCGTATTTACTCGCATAATAGGCGCAATTTTTTCTCAAAAAATCTGGCTCCAAGTTTGGGGTGCACATATTACACAGGGTAAAATTTTCAAAAATCTTATTACCGACCAGTAAATCGGTATGGACCTACTAGGACCATTTCCTGCGTGCGAAAGGTAATGGGATGAATACCCAGTACCTTCACCAAATGTCATGGAGTCGTGTAGTAGACGAAGAGACCAGACTGCAGGTCTGGTGTCCCTTCGATAAGACTGTTTATTTGGGTGAACTTGTGACCATGTCAAAGAAAAGTCAGATTACAGTAAGACATCGGCACTGATAGCGGCGAACAGAGCGTCAGCCGTCAATCAACTGACAAGCAACAATGCGCATTGGCATTTATACATGTGCCATCGAATGTTGCAGCATTATCGCTAGCGGTCACGTATGTTCCAGGACAATCTGTAATGTTTGGGTTGTACGCATAATCACATCAAAATCTACAATTATCTCAATGGTTCTTCAGTCAACCAGGGCGGTTGCTGAAGGCAGCACTTACTTGTGTAATGCGACGATAACAACATACTTGAGAAAGGAGCGTGGCAATATGGTCGGACGCGTAGCATGAGATAGCCAGTGGCAACAGTTTCTGGGAGTGTATTTCCTTGAAACCTGAGTATGATGTGCTTTGTGGAGAGTTCTGCATCGTTTTGCCCGATTTTAATGTGCTGCACATGTATAAAATTCTCGTCCTTCCACCCGTCCAAAAGTTCCTTGTCGGTAAGATCTATAAGAGTATTGTCTGATACAACACCTTTCACTGAGTTCAATGCTTAGTGAGCGGTAACTGTTACAGGTTTGCCCGAAATTCTGCAAGGTTGCTTAGTTTCTTATACTGAATTTTATCTTTGACTTCTATTAGCAGGTACTCACTGGGCCATCTTGGTGGCTTGTGTCCAGTGCCAATGATTTCAGTGAGACATCTTGAAACTAGAAACGGGGATATGTTTGTTGCCTTCTTGTCAGTGGTTTCACAATGTATGACATGGTATTTTGGGAACAAGTCTTGCTTCTTCATTACCTACTACGGTGATGATGATGGGTGGTGTTTTATGGCTTAAGGGCCAAATGATAACCGTGAGGCTGCTTTGATATGCCCCCTTTTCTGGGTACGATCACTTAGGAAGGGGTTCGGTGATCCCATAGAAAAAAGTGTTTGCTTAGCAAATGCGCCTACCGCCCTCTACGAAGCCCTACGAGGGCCTGTGGCAGAACATGTGAACACGTCTGCACAATGCCAGCGGTGCACCGTCACTAGTATAAGCTACAGTAGGTTATAGTGATGACTACCCTAGGTTGGAACCCTAGTTTTACCCTCGGTCGGATAAGCACACAAAGTGGCACAAGGTGAATAAGCGCTGAATGGGGCAACCACCCTTGCTGCCAGGAAAAAAAGAAGTAACGAGAAGAGAGAGAACAAAAAAACATTAAAGAGTGAGAAAGATGGAGATAAGGCGAGATAGAGACAGCATAAGAGGACTTGCGGTTTTCCCTGGGTGGGTCAAGCCCAGGGGTTTCATTTACGTGAAGTTGAGGCCAGATGGGTGAGCTGCCCCCACCCAAAGGGCTTAAAGGTCCAATCACCCAGTATTGGCTCAACCCCCAGAATTTTCTTTCCCTCAAACATGGCAGTACCACGCATGGGAGGGAGTCGAAACCACCCCAATTAGCTTGCATCCGTGGTGTCACCACATACGAAATGCCTGCCCGTGCAAGCAACCCTGCGGGCCCTTCACATAAGTTTGAGTGCACGGGGCTGGGGGACCAAGAGTGGGGCCGAAATATGCCTCACACACTGACTCAGTCTGCCAGAATGAGACCTTCTTGTTCTGGAAGACTTGGTGTCTTGAGGTGGTATCAATGAGCAAGAAAAGAGTGTCCCACACACGCCCAAATTGTAATAGGCGGCGCTGACCGACTCTCCCATGTTTAAATGCACACATATACTGTACAAAGAGGACAGGCAGTTAGCCGCCCTGGTAGCTAAGTTTGTAGAGCATCAGACGCATAATTCAAAGGTCGCAGGTTCAGTCCCTGCCCACGGCAAGTTATCTTTTCGTCCACTTTTCTTTCTTCACAATTACATTACCATACTTCCAATAATATCCCATATATTTTCTCTGGCATAATTGTCTGTCAGTTCTAATTATATCGGATCATTAGCTTGTTTTGTCACAGTGATAATAATTATGCATGATGTTTAGGTATGCACAGCCAATAATAGAACAATGAGATAAGAGATCGGCTAATTCTTCGCTCTAAGGCCATGCGTGTCAAATGTGGATAGATGCAAAGCTACAATGAAGCGATAGCCATTTAGAAAAATTGTGTTTCTTAACAGCAGTTGGTTTAGTAATAACTTGTTAGTGCTTCACACATTCCCTGTCGTGCTTACCTGAAGAGTAGGATGAACCCATAGGTCTCAACAATGATTCCGATGAGGGGGAAACCAACGATGACAATGGCAATGCCACCAAAAAAAGCAAGCGTGCCACGGATCTTGTGCCTTTGAAAGAAGAACCGAAAGGTGCGTTCCAGGCCAATGACGAATGCCAGGCCGCTCAGGAACAGAATCTGCATTTAGTAGAAAGTTTCACGGATATCATACAAAATATACATGTATTATTGCAATAGCAATGATTTGTCACGGGGGTGTGACGTGGAGAAAAAAAAACACAAAATCAAACTGGTTATTCAGTCGAATTGTGGCCCGTAAACTGAAGGTCAGATTATAGCGATGCTGATTGCTACTGATAGTGGCGGACCGAGCATCTGCTGTCGATCAACTGACAAGCCACCACATGCATCGGCATTCATACACTTGACATCAATTATTCTAGCATTATCACTAGCGGTGACATAGGTTCCACAACAATCTGCAATGTTCACAAAGTGGACGTAATTTTAACAAAATTATCTAACGCAGTCCTGAAGCTTCTCGAGCACTGTAGGCGTGATTGGCGACGAAAATTACTGACAGTGAAATAGGGCGATAATAACACTAGAGGGAATATGGCGTCGCCCCCTTCTGAAAAAGGCATCGTCATGTTGCTTTAACAAAAGACGAAAGTACAATAGTAAAAAAACAATAAGTACAAGCAATAAAGCACAGCAATGACAATAAAATACAGTCCTAAGGTTCACGCATGAAATGGCTTGAGGCGCACGACATGGAAGACTTCAGGTCGAGCATGGCGCCATTGAAAGGTCGGGAATAACTTCGTAGTGGAGTGGGCCAAGGCGTTGGACTACCCTGTACGGCCCACCGTATCGTCATTGAACGTTTTAACTGAGTCCACGCCAGCGTATCCGCGTGCACACCCAAACTCGGTCACCGGGTTGGTATTTCACGAAGCTTCGTTGAATGTTGTAACGACGGCACTCTTCTAGTTTATCTCCCGTTCTCTCAGGAGTGCCTCAAGAAACAGTTTTAGGGCCCTTACTATTTCTAGCTTACATTAATGACTTTTTTTAGTTTACATTATTGACTTGCCTAATAATATTCAATCTAACATACGTCTATTTGCTGACTATTGCATCTTATATCGTCCCATTTACACTGGTAACGACAATTTAATTCTCCAGCGTAACCTTAATATTATTAAGAATTGGTGTGATACATGGCTAATGTCTCTTAATGTGTCTAAAACCTCATTACTGTCTTTCCACCGCAGAGCGCCATATGATATACGTACCGCATCGCTACGTAATTGGCAGTTCTAACGTTTCATCTGTTCAATCCTATATCTCGGTGTTTCTTTAACCCAGGATCTTACTTGGTCAACTCACATTTAGAATGTGACCAACGATGCTAATCGCGTTCTTGGGTACCTGCGCCGTAATTTACGTTTTTGTTCTTCACCCGTCAAATTGCTCGCATAACGAACATTGGTCCGACCTAAACTTGGGTACGCATGTGCGATCTGGGATCCTCCCCTCTCGAACTTATTTATCTAATACACTTGAATCTGTGCAAAACCGTGCGGCAAGGTTTATCTATTCGGCCTACTCCTACCACACAAGCGTCACTAAACTAAAAAGCCTAGCTAATCTTTCTCTACTTGTAACAAGGCGTTAAGTTAAGCGGCTGTGCTTGTTTCATAAGTTTTATCATTCACGCATTGCTACGACAGTCATTGAAGAAGTTCATCGTCACTCTGACCGCATCAATCACACATTGGCTGTTTACCCAGGAAAGACTCTCACCTCTGCCCCTCAGCATTCTTTTTTTATCGAAACAGCAAAAGACTGGAATGATCTGCCAACCAACGCCGTTGTCATTTCCAGCCCCATCCATTTTCATGAAGCAATCGAAGACATTATGTACCAAAACTCTTTACTGAGCACCAATGACATTGTTCACAATAAATGCCCACCCCTCATGTAAAGCCCCTGGATAGAGGCCTTTGAAGTACAATAAATAAAATAAAAAATAAACATGTTTGAAACACCTTCCCGTTTCTGGGTGCACCTGTTTATCCGTTTCTTCGTGTGGGACAACCTCACCGACACTGCGCAAGTGCTGGTAATCTTATCAGCTAATCACAGAGGCATCTACCCGTTGAGCCGAATGACTGGGCCCTTGTTCCGCTGTGAAGCTACTGAAACATTCTGTGCGAGCTGGCCGCGTATTACTGCTGTGCTGTTATTTCCGGCTAACAAGTCGACTGACGCATCATCATCAGCAAGCCGTAAAGACTGCTGGAAAAGCTTGCACAGTTTTAGTGGGAATGGAGGCACTGCAGCCAACAACATGATTGAAACACCTTTCCATTTCTGAGTGCGGGTGAGTACAGCAGCCCAACTTCACTGTAAAAAGTCAATAAATGTTTGGCTGCTAGTGCTTCCAGGCCCCCAAATATTGTTTCAATTAACATGTGAGTGTGTGTTCATCGCCAAGTTGTTATTCATGTCCGGTGACGTAGAGCTAAACCCTGGGCCCCCCAGAGATGATCCTAACAAGGAATTACTACAGCTTGTTAAGTCACTTCACGATAATTTTGGTGCGAAACATGGAGAAGTCATGTCTGCCCTGGGTGAAGTAAAAGAAGCTCAATTTTCGATGAAGCGGCAAATCACCGATATCGATAATAGGCTCTCGGCCGTTGAACAAAGCCTTCGATCGTCTGAGGGCAACAAGAGGAAAGCGTAGCGCCTGAAATGGCTGTACTACACCAACGACTAAATGAATTTGAAGACCGTTCACGTCAAGAAAATTTAATATTTCACGGCATAGCTGACACCGCTGCTGAAACTTGGGCACAATCGGAAGAAAAAGTTTGCTCGATATTACATTCAGCATTAAGCCTGAACCTAAACCGAATTTCCCGGGCCCACAGACTTGGCCGTTTTGTCACTAAAAAGCCCAGACCTATTATTGTTTGGTTTTCATCTTGTAAACTAAGAGCAACGATTCTGTCTTCTAAAAGTAAGTTAAAAACAGTTGGTGTTCCGTAAGCGAAGATTTTGTAAGGCAACCAGTACTGTCAGGACAAAGCTGCACGATTTAGGCAAGAAAAGCAGCGAAGTTTTCTCTGTGAGGTACAAACAAGTTATACATCAACAAAAAGTGTTACGTTTACTCCCCCGCCAAAAGTGTCTGTGAATTGCATTTTGGCAATGCTCGAAGTAACACTGAACTATCGTCTGTTGCTGCAAACTGCCATTCTGGCAGTTGTTTTTCCTGACAAAATTAGACATCAGCCACGCAGCCAGTATTCTGAAGGCTTATCCTTTTTGTTGTTAAATGTGTGCAGCTTAATCAACAAACGCAACGCTCTAGCCCCTATTTTTGATTCATGTGCCGCTGACGTGATTCCATTGACAGAGACCTGATTGACCGATAAAATTTTGAGCGAGGAGTTGTTTCAATGCGAGAATTATGTTGTTTACCGCCACGATTGTGATATAGAACTGGGTGGTGGCGTACTGATTGCCGTCGCCGATAATATAGTGTCTGCTTGGATTGCATTTACGACGTCCTTAGCTAAAGTTAGTATACATATGTGCTGTCTTAAATCCTCAAAACAGATTGCTCTGTGCTTGTTATCATCCGCCAAATGCACCAACTGCTTTCTGCAACGAACATCATGGCGTTCTTAATTTTCTTGTCTCAAAATTTCCCCACTCTAATTGCTTCTTCTGGGTGATTTTAATTTTCCTAAAAATAAATTGGGCCTCGCAATATCCCTCTGTTATTGGTTCGACCACTGATAGTGACTCTTTTATTAACTTCTGCTTAAATTTTAATCCTATGCAACTTGTTTCTGGACCTACTAGAACTGGTGCTACTTCTTCAAATACTCTCAACCTCGCGCTCGTCAACAACCCTAATTTAGTACACTTAACTTGTTTACCAAGAATAAGCGATCACTGCCTTTTACATTTTTTTGTAAAAGGCCACGTCACACACCCGAAAAGCACTCCAAAATTGACCAGAGATTATGCGAGAGGTGATTACACAGCAATTATTAATGAGCTTGCACTGTTCACTGATGAGTAAATGCCAGAATTTTTCAGCCGTACCGTAGATGATAATTGTAATTTGTTTAAAAATAAAGCTACAGCACTTGTTGCTAAATATATTCCACTGTACAGGCTTTCCAAAAAGAAATGTTCCCCTTGGTTTTCAAGGACACTAAAAAGATTACCAAACAAGAAAAAAATGCCTCTTTCGCCTCGCGAAATGCATTGCAACATCTGTTCGTCGAAATGCTTATTTTCACGCACTGCGTGCATATCGCATCGCGCGTTAAAACAGGCAGAAGCCGTATATTTTAATACTTATTTACCATCACTTCTTTCTACTAATCCACCAAAATTTTGGGTCACTATTCAAATAAAAAAAAAACTAGCATATCTTTTTCAGCTTCTGATGACTGTGCTACGAGCAATGAGGAATGTTGCATGGTGCTAAATGACACCTTTGCGAAATCGTTTTCTGATAACTATATTGACACGGAGCCACACTTGTACAAAAATGACTTTTTCCCCATGGATCAAAATGTAGTTGATTTTGCTGGTATTTTGAAATTCTTTCATGGTTTAAAACTATCATCTTCCTGTGGCACTGATGAAATTCCATGTTGTTATAAAATACTGCTGTGTACTCCTCTGTACTTCTTATACAGCTTTTCAACCAGTCTGTTGAGTGCTCGACTGTGCCTGCAGATTGGAAGATCGGGAAAGTGGCGCCTCTGTTTAAATCAGGTGACCCGCATTCCCCTCTCAATTACAGACCCATCTCGCTCACTAGCATTCCTTGCGAAATCCTCCAACATGTCACATTTACTAACCTCATTTCATATCTTGAATCCGACGCATTTTCCACTTCGTTTCTGCATGGTTTTCGCAAGAACTATTCCAGCAAAACACAACTTGTATTGTTTATGCATAACATTTCATCTTCCTTAGATAAAGGTGCTAGATTTGGCAGGCCACCCTTTTGCCGCGGCTGCCAGAATGGAAGAAAGACAGCCGCCCCATTTTATACAGATTAGGAGCAGCGCCAGGAGGCCCTCCTGTTTCCATGTGCTGGGCGCGGCGCGGCTGAAATTGCTCTATGGAGCACCGCT